CTGTGGTTATGTTAGCATCTGCATGTTATTTGTATTTGACTATTTTTGTGCTTTGCTGTTACGTTGAATGAAAGACAACAAGAGGGGTCTCCATGCATGTATTATTTCGTCAAATTTTTCCTAATATATTTTTTTTATCTCTATCCTGTTATATTAATTTGGGGCATTAAATTTATTCTGTTGACTTTGAACACATATATCATGTTGTTTGACTTAGACAAATTACCAGTCAATTTTGCTTCTGCCTTGGGGTTCGAAATTCATGTTAACGTTTTAATTAAATTTAAATTGTATATTATAAATTAGTATAATAATAATACTTTTAATAGATTTTTTTTCATATTTTACTGCACCATAATCTAAAGTTTTAAGTGTGTGGCTCTCTTTTTTTCCTTTTTATATATCTCTCTCTTGTACTTCTCTTTCAGTTTAATTTTTATGTTTGATTAGATAAGATTTTAAGAAAATAAATAAATAAATTTTATTCTCGGTTTATTTTTATAATTTATGAAACTTTTACACCGATAACGATCTAAAGATCATTTTAAAGCAAATTTTTTTCAATAAAAAGATATTAAACGATAGTCTAATATATTGTCATTAATAATATGTATGAACTAGTAAGCATTAATCCTGAATCTAATATTATTCCAAAAGACAATTTTTCGACTATTTTCACACTTGGAATAGTAGAAACAAAAATCTGAATGATAAACTAAAAAAGAGTATTTGTGTATACTAACTATTACAATTGTGGAAATTACACTTAATGAACTTGAAAATAAATTATTTTAAAAGTTTTGACCATGCTCGACTCATGAGATAACCATTAGAAATTTGAAATTTGTTAACATTATAGTTTGAAAAATGACAAAAATCTCTCCCTTAAGTTTACTTATTATCCTTATTCCCTATCAGTTTTAAAAGTACCTAAAATTTCTCATTTTTAAGTCAAATGAGGCGGATGCAAAATTGTGACAAAAAATGAGGAAGATACAAAAATGTGACAAAAAATGAGTCGGATACAAAAATGTGATAAAAAATGAGGCGGATAAAAAAATGTGATAAAAAATGAGACGGATACAAAAATGTAAAAAGGAGGCGGATACAAAAATGTGACAAAATTGAGGTGGATACAAAAAGGTGATTAAAAAATGAGGCGGATACAAAAATGTAAAAATAGCATCTTCAAGGGATTGATGGCTTCTTCAGGAAAGGCTTGGCCTCCAGAAGATGAGGACTTTTTTAAATTTCTCTTTGTCCTTTCTTAAGAGACTCCGGACGCTCCTTGTCCTAAGCCCCAAGCATGAGGCGGATATAAAAATGTGACAAAAAATGAGGCGGATACAAAAATGTTACAAAAAATATATAATGTATCCGCCACCTTTTTATTGTATCAGCCCTATTATGTAGCCGTGCTTTTGTATATTTTTGTGAGATTTTATTCATTAAAAATTTATAAGAGATAAATTGTCATTTAATCCCAAAAGTATGTTATTTATGTCATTCGCCATTATAGTTTTGTACCTATTACACACCTCGAAAGCTATTCATGACTTTGGGCCAAACCAAAATGTGGGCCGCACCAAATTATAGTTTGGGCCGAGTAGGAAAGGTACATATGAACAAAGTTTGAAAGGTTATAGGTCTTTTTCATGATATTTGAATCAAGGAAAAACTATACAAATTACACATTAGATAAAGTATTTATCCAAAAAAGATTCAATTCAATGTATTTATTTTGATTGGATTGAAAACTCAAACTATTTATCTGATTGCGCTCCTTAATTTATTCGTTGAACCATTGCTATATCAGCAAAGTAAATACTTTGATAATATATATATATATATATATATATATATATATATATATATACTCCATTAGTATCAAATAGTAACTGAGTAGTGTTTGTCACTAAAGCACTACTTCTTCCTCTTCGATAAAATTAAAATATATATATATTCTAATGATATCAAGTAATAAACACGAATTACTACGTAAAACATTGAGTGTAATATATTCCTTTTCTAGGGTGAGTGTTCTTTTCCCTTTTTGATTTAATCTTTTAACTTTTCTAACTTTCATTTGTTTGTCAGAGATTATAAGAATGGTCAAGGTAAAGGATGAACAAAACATATTGGGTAATCAGATGCTTAACAAAGTTTTAATGTCTCATTATGCTTCTAATTGCCTCCTTTAAAACAAATTAAGAAGTTGATATGCAACATCTTAACGCATATGGTGTCTTTGTATGGTACTATTCAATAAGTATCGATAAAACAAAAGCTCTCAAGAAATAATTTAATACCTTGTGCCAATCATATTTACTAAGAATCCATCATTGGATCACTCTAAGTATTTCTTGTTACCATTTTATGTGTCTTTTTTTCTCATTTTTATTCCCTAGAAATTATCCCTATATTTATTCTAATTAAAACTCGAGGCTTGTCTTATAATTTCTCATTTTATTTGTATTAAAAGGAAAACTTTCACAAACACCAAACATTAGATCTTAAATAGAACTTCTTAGCTATAGTTTCAGTAATTACAATTTGTAGCTAAATTTTGGTTTGGTACGTATTTTGTATTCGTTATATTTTTTTGTAGCTTTTGGAGAAAAATTATATAAATATAAACGAATTTTGTATTAAAATGAATACATATTAGAAGGAGAGAGAGGAGCGAGATTGAAAGAGGCGGAAAGAAAGGACGACTACATGTTGTACTCATTGTATGACCAATACATGCATGTTGTATTCATCGTATAACGTATACAATTGATCATACATAATACAAATAAAGTTATATAAAACACAAGTGTAGTTTTCCGAATACAATGTAAAAACAAATCTCTCACCTATATTTAATTGAATTGATACATAATACTTGAGGATGAACACATATTATTTTCGTGTTAATCACAAATATAATTGATACAAAATACAAATATATTTGATACAAAATACAAAAATAGTTTTTCGAATACACTTGATATCAAATACAAATCTATCACCTATTTTTTGTTGAAAACCATTTATACATAATACATTCGAATGAGACGACGGAGAAATAAGAGAAATTTGCTATAAAATTCTACATATTAGCTATAATGATTTATCATAAATACATGTATTGTAGGTACAGTAGATTAAAATAAATAAATATGAAAACATCTAGATTAATATGTACGAAGCATATAAATAGTGTATGTTTTATATCAACTATATACTATACTATACTATATACAACAATATATTAATAATATATACTTTGATTATATTGGTGAACTTATTATTCTACGGATATATATATATATATATATATATATATATATATATATATATCTGTAACTTTCTCTTAAAATATTTTATTTATGTAACAAGAACGTACAACTCACTACGTTTTGTACTATCATTATTCTTTGGAGATAGTGATCTTAGTAGATACTCCTAATTGATTGCAAGTACAATATTGTTATTTGTTCTTTGTCACTTAGGCACCAATGAAAAATTACTCTCGACAAAGATGAAATAATAAAATAAAAAGGATTCCAAAATTGTTAAAATATGTACTCTATGTAGCAAAGATGTGTTTCATTTGATCCATGAATATTGTATTGGATGGAAACACAAGATTGTAAATAGATCAAAAGTATAGGTAAATTTTTAATTGTAAACTCAATTATTATTATTAGTATATATTAATTAGAGGTGGTAAAAATTTATAGATTTCAAATTCTTAATTATTTACACCGGTAAGTCTCTTATTGAGGTAAAACTATTATGAACAAAAATGATTTCATATTAAGGGCTTAAACGATCTGAAACTTAAATCTTTCTATTTTATACACAAAAATCTAATTAGGCATTATTTGGACATGATTCTAAATCATTGATATGAATTCAAGTTGATCTGAAGTTAAAAGAAAATTTATTTGTACATATAATTTGAATCTTAAAAATTGTACTTCCTTCTTTTTCATTTTATATGATTTTTTTTGCATTTTGAGATTTAAACAAGTCTATTTTTGATGGTAAGTTTTTCATAGGTACTTTTAACATTTTGAATTATGAATTATTGTAAATTATAGTACCTTTTACGTAGTTTAAAAAAATATAAATTTCATTTCAAAAAATTTGAAAAATTTCATACCATAAGTTAAATTGTCGAAAAACGAAAAGTGCGTAAGTTTCTTTGTCCCTTCTCTTTTATGGCCATAACCATGAATACGTGTTGTTGACGGAGTTTCAGAAGCTCAGTATAGAGTAACTCATTATGTGTTGTCATTTGAGAAAATCCCAATGCACTTTGTTTAAGATACAAACTATGCTGTTTTTCCTATATTTATTCCATGGAGATTCCTACTTCATTCTTCTCTCAACTTACTACGGTAATTACCAATTTCTTAATTTCTCTACACTTCAATATTACTATTAGATGGTAATATTTGTTTCTTTCAACAGCGATTTAAGTTAACGTAAGATTTTTGGCCTACTAAGTATTCAGTTGATCACTCGACTAATAGTTATCATTTGACTGTCTTTGATTAATATTAGTTAAATAACATATGAGAAATCAATCTCGTACTATGTAGGATGTATATAAGTTGAACTCTTTCAAGAATGTTATGGAGTTCTTTTTTTTTTTTTCGCGAGTCTTCGTACTATTTGTTATGAATAATAAGTACAATCAAGAAGTGATAGAATTTGATGCATAAGGAATTTTGAGCTACGTATATAAATGTGTGTGTAGTGTTCTATCAAGATTTAAATGTTTGGTTTATAGCATATGTGCATAGTTTTGTAGCAAAACATAGATTTGGTAATCTTTAAATCATGTTAAACGACATGTTACAACGTGTAAAATTACACCGATATTCATGTTTCTCAATCTCTTGCAAGGTTTATGTTAAAAGTGATTTCAATGGAACATTTTTTTTTTCTCAAATGTAGATCTTTTTATCAATTGTTGGCTGAGGGGTTCAATCAATTGAGCTACCATGGGTACAGAAAAGACAACCACTACTTTGGAGGCTATCAACAATGAGACTGTTGATCTGGTAAAATTTAGTTTTTTAAGTATTAGTACAAAGCAATGAATTGTACTAAATGATGCAGAGTAATGTATTCTGTCTAATTCTCGATACAAGTATTAGTCGTGATGAAAACACTGTCGTTGATGAGCTATATACGAATGAAAATGTGGTGACCTTGATCTCTTATATATTTACTTGACAGGAAAACATTCCTATTAAGGAGGTTTTCGAGAATCTGAAATGTACAGAAGAGGGACTCAGCTCCGCGGAGGTTGAGAAACGTTTAAATGTGTTTGGTCATAACAAACTCGAAGAGAAAAAGGTCTCTCATCTTCGATATATACAAATCCTTTTCCTCCTTTGAAGTAATTCTTGTAATTTGTATATCTAAATATATATATATCTTTTCCACCCTGCATTTGACAGGAGAGTAAAATACTGAAGTTTTTGGGATTCATGTGGAATCCTCTTTCATGGGTAATGGAAGCAGCAGCAATCATGGCTCTTTTTCTTCCACATGGAAAGGTTAGATTACTTTGTGTTTGCTACAAATTTGCATTATTTTTCTTCCTCACTTGTGGGATTTACACTGGGTACGTTGTTGTTGTTGTCGTCTTCAAAAGCATACAAGAATTTAGAAATAAATGGATGTTTGTTGTATTATTTTTTTGTTACAGCACAAGGGAGTTGATTATCAAGACTTTGTTGGCATTGTTGCACTACTTATCATAAACTCAACTATTAGTTTTATAGAAGAGAATAACGCTGGAAATGCGGCTGCTGCTCTTATGGCTCGGTTAGCTCCAAAAGCGAAGGTCAGATAACTAGCTCGATATACTATGACCTCTTCATGTAATTATTAAGGTTGCAATAGATTAATTGTCCAAGAATATTCAATCATATGTATCAGGTTTTACGGGATGGGAAATGGAATGAAGAGGATGCAGCTGTGTTAGTTCCTGGAGACATCATTAGCATAAAACTCGGGGATATAATTCCAGCTGATGCACGTCTACTTAACGGTGATCCATTGAAAATTGATCAGGTATCAGTTGAATCATTAGTCTGTGTCACAAGCTACGTAGCCTGAACGACTGGTTTTTAACTAGTATTTCCCTGCAGTCTGCTCTTACAGGAGAGTCACTTCCGGTTACCAAAAATCCCGGTGATGGTGTATACTCTGGGTCAACATGTAAACAAGGTGAAATAGAAGCTGTTGTTATTGCTACCGGAGTTCACACTTTCTTTGGAAAAGCTGCTCATCTAGTGGAAAATACGACACATGTTGGACATTTTCAACAGGTGAGGAGTACATATATTCTACTCGTTATTCCTTTATGATAGGACCGAAAGCCATAATACTGCACTAGTCATAACTAATATTATTTGATGGTTTCAGGTATTAACTTCTATTGGTAACTTTTGCATCTGCTCTATTGCAACTGGTATGATCATTGAGCTCATTGTAATATTTGGGGGACAACATCGACATCCTCGTGAAGCTGTTGATAGCCTTCTTGTTCTGCTCATTGGTGGAATTCCAATTGCCATGCCAACAGTTCTATCCGTAACTATGGCAATTGGTTCTCATCGACTATCTCAGCAGGTATGTAGAGTCCCCAGTTTAATATATTGATTTTGTCGATATGAGGAAAGTTTAAACTGTTTCTGGAGTATCTGATAATTTTAATAACTGACAAGTAACTGATACCGCACATAATTGCAGGGAGCTATAACAAAGAGAATGACAGCTATAGAGGAGATGGCGGGGATGGATGTCTTGTGCAGTGACAAAACTGGCACTCTAACTTTAAACAAATTATCAGTCGACAAAAATCTGATTGAGGTGGTCCTTAAATCCTCTTTTAAAAGCTTTTTGTCAAATGTGCATCACTAGAACTATACTGATACTATCATAAGTTTAGTCTCGTAACGATAATCATTAGATAGAAGTGTCTATGTACCTTTGCAAAATCGATTCTGGAACACATATCAGAAATCCTATTGTACCGATAGTGCAAAAATGTGATATAATCAGTACTTATTTGGTAGCTTTATTTTTTTTATTGTGTTGCCTTGACCAATCAAGTTGTCTAAACTAATTGAATAGAGATATAAAATTACTACCTTCACCTCATGGCATAAGACAGTCCTTAGATTCATCTAGAAGTTTTCATCAAGCTATATTGATCACTGATCAGTGCATTTTGTGAACCAAAAGTTGCTGATTTTGATCGATTTTTTATAGGTTTTTGCAAAAGATGTTGAAAAGGATATGGTAGTTTTGATGGCTGCAAGAGCTTCCAGGATGGAGAACCAAGATGCAATTGATACCGCGATAGTGTCCATGCTTGCTGATCCTAAGGAGGTAAATGCTGCAACTGTTCGGTTTTTATTCTCTTCGTTCTTAAGCAACTTGAAAAAATGTACACTTCTACATAGAACCTTTTTAATGCATTTCTGATGCATTTGAATGAACAAAACCCTCTCATGCAAGTCTCTCTTTAGCTACTTAACCTTTATGCAACTCTTTTATCAATTTTTTGCCGTGAAAAAAACTAATAGTGTTCTATTTGACTGATCTTCATGAAAGGCCCGAGCTGGTATCACAGAGGTTCATTTCCTTCCGTTTAATCCAACTGATAAGCGGACAGCTCTTACCTACCTAGACAGCGCCGGTAAAATGCACAGAGTGAGCAAAGGTGCTCCAGAGCAGGTAGAGGCTGTATGCTTTTAACGATTAATAGCAGTTTTCAGTCAATTTAGAGCACATGACAGTTAAGATTGTGATTTTTGGTTCGTATCCATCACAATTAACGGTGGAATGCAGTACTCAAGAGTTATTCTAACACTTACTAAACTCTTCCTATCATAAATTCTCTGTAACTTTTAGATTTTGAACCTGGCTTGGAACAAATCAGACATTAAAAATAGAGTCCATTCAGTGATAGATAAGTTTGCTGAGCGTGGGCTTCGATCTCTTGCAGTTGCTCGCCAGGTAATTAGACCACTGTCTTGTCAATTTCAGTGAAGTTGTTATTTACAAGATGATGACTGTTGCGAGTTTATTCTTTGTATAGGAAGTACCAGAAGGTACAAAGGATAGTCCTGGTGGCCTTTGGGAATTTGTTGGTCTTCTTCCTCTATTCGATCCACCACGTCATGACAGTGCTGAAACAATTAGAAGAGCTCTCGAACTTGGAGTTAGTGTTAAGATGATTACAGGTTTGCTCAACAGATAGTCCTTTTACATTGTTACCTTTTCTCGCTATAATGCAAGTTAATTCTCAACTGGTATTTGGACTCATATTCTAGCTGAATTGTGGTATTATTACCAGGTGACCAGTTAGCTATAGGTAAAGAAACTGGGAGACGTCTTGGGATGGGAACGAACATGTATCCTTCATCCTTTTTGCTTGGAGAACAAAAGGATTCGTCAGCTGCAGTCCTTCCAATTGAAGAACTCATTGAAAGTGCTGATGGATTTGCCGGTGTCTTTCCTGGTAAGTTAGACGCGAAATACTCCCTATGTTTCAACTTGTTTGTCTTACTTTCCTTATAGCCCGTTCAGAAAAAGAATGTCTCTTTCCTTTTTTGGCAACGTTTTAGTTTCAACTTTCCACATGACATGTTTATGACCACAAGTTTCAAAGACGTTTTAGTACATTCTACATATCTATGATCCACAAGATTCAATACTTTTCATTACTTTCTTAAACTTCGTGCAAGTCAAAACCAGACAAACAAATTGAAATGGAGGAAGTAGAGTCTTTTAAATCTTTATTATGTATCATAATATGTATATACTACTCCTTGCAGAGCACAAGTACGAAATCGTGAGAATCTTACAAAGCAGGAAACACATTTGTGGAATGACTGGTGATGGAGTAAATGACGCACCTGCATTGAAGAAAGCCGATATAGGAATTGCTGTAGCAGATGCAACAGATGCAGCTCGGGGTGCTTCAGATATTGTTCTGACTGAACCAGGACTAAGTGTTATTATCCACGCTGTATTGACAAGCCGTGCCATTTTCCAGAGGATGAAAAATTACACAGTTAGTACTAATTTCATTTACTTCATCCCACAGAAAAAATTAAACTAGTACTTTTAAGTATTTCTTTACATAGGACTAATTCTCCGTCTTTCATTTGTCCAGATATATGCAGTGTCCATCACAATCCGTATTGTGGTAAGTTACCCTTAGTCATTACATTCTGGAACCTGAACTATATGCGCGATAAAAGAAGGAGAACATATTCCTTCCTCTCTTTTGCAAAATGTAACTCGTGTTTGTGATGATCAAACAGTTAGGATTCATGTTGCTGACTGCATTTTGGAAATTCAATTTCCCCCCCTTTATGGTCCTTGTCATTGCCATTCTTAATGACGGTGAGGGCTCACACGCGTTTTGTCATTTCATAACTTGGCAAGATTGATGATATTATATTCTTCGTTTATTTATTGAACCATCGTAAATTGTTTGCAGGCACAATCATGACTATATCCAAAGACAGAGTCAAGCCATCACCACTTCCTGACAGTTGGAAGCTCAGTGAAATATTTGCAACAGGAATTGTGCTAGGCAGTTACCTCGCCTTGATGACCGCCTTATTCTTCTATTTAACTTTTGAGACCAGCTTCTTCGCGGTACTTGCCCCTTGTTACATCTATGCAACTTTAATAACTATTGAACAAATGAACTAAGCTGATCATGTTCCTTTTTCTTCAGAACGCCTTTCACGTGACAGATTTCAACAAACACATTCCAGAAAATAAGGTCGTCACTGATTCTCTAAATGCAAAACTAGCTTCAGCTGTATATCTCCAAGTTAGCACCATCAGTCAAGCATTGATCTTTGTTACACGGTCCCGAGGATGGTCGTTCATGGAAAGACCTGGCCTACTCCTTGTTGCTGCCTTTATTGTTGCTCAGTTGGTAAATATTTCCCTTCTTTATTCTCCTTTCATCTAATGGACCAACGCGATTTATCTAGAGGGGTTTCATTTTCGCCCCTTGTTTCTATTGCAGGTTGCAACTTTTATGTCTGCTATGGTTACATCAGTTAAATTTGCTGGTATTGAGAAGATCGGATGGAGATGGACCGGTGTGATTTGGTTGTTTAATATTATTACATATTTTCTCCTGGATCCCATTAAATTTGCTGTTCGATATGCTCTCAGTGGTAGAGCGTGGGGCTTACTATTGAACCAAAAGGTATATTCTTCTTCACAAAGTTTGATTCTAGACATACATATAATGTAACATATTTGCATTTATCAGACGGCTTTCACCAACAGAAAGGACTTTGGTAAGGAAGCTCGCGAAGCAGCATGGGCTGCTGAACAGAGGACAATTCATGGCCTTCAATCAGTAGAAACCAAAACATTTCCAGAGAATTACACATTCAGGGAGATCAGTGTAATGGCTGAGGAAGCAAAAAGGCGCGCAGATATTGCAAGGTAAACACCCTTGTCCCTTTCAACCTTATGATCTCAAATTACAAGCTTAACTTGCCTACATTTGATTGTGTTATCGATCTTTTAATTGTATCGTTTTCTACTTAACAGGTTGAGGGAACTTCACACACTTAAAGGGAAAGTAGAGTCATTTGCAAAGCTTAGAGGATTAGATGTTGATCATGTCAATCCACATTACACCGTGTAATGAGAGGACTCATTTGTGGAGTTTTTCGCCTTATTTTCGTTTGCAGTTTTAGTTTTTATCATTTGCTCAATTTGTCAAATAAACAAAGCTTTTTTCAAACTACATTGTTGTATGCTGCAGCAAAGTGCAAGTTTGAGTTAGTCCCTTTATTAATTCTTTTGAGAGTCTATAGAAGTTGTGACAAGAAGAATGAAGCACTAAAATTAAAGAGATTCAGTTTCTATGCTATAGATGTAATTGAAGATTGATGGAATAGAATATTGAATTTAAATACTTGTTTATTCATGATGTCTATTTGTTGTTTGAATTTTGAGAAGTTTTGACCAAAGTCAACATTTTTTGGGTTAATAAACTCGGAATGGAATTACAACTGTTCTGTTAGGATCGACTAGGTGATTTTTGACTTAGTTAGATCCTTGGTATTGGTCAAATACATTCATTTTGCTAGATTCGGAAGGTGATTTTTTACTTAGTTTGGATGGTTGGTATTGGTCATATACATTTATTTTGTTAGGCCGGGAAAGTGATTTTAGACTTAGTTTGATGGTTGGTATCAATCGGGTACATTGGATTTCCTCCTTAAAAACATCTACAATACAGACGTATTTGAGGGTGGTCAGAGATTGTTGAATCGTTTTGAGAGGAAGATTAAATCTAACCAATAAACTTCATATACAACTTCACCACCACAAAAAATTACGCCATTTGAGCATTGAACTCCTCTAGAACTATGAAAATAATTAAAATTTGTGTTAACTATTTAATGGAGATCAAAAGTAAGTCCTCAAAGAAACTGTTTTACGAGATTATTTAAACCCACTTCAAACATTTAATATAAAGTTAAGACCATTTTATTAGTATAATTTTATCTTAATGAAAGTATTTTAATCATTGAAGGATATATATAATATGGTTCCTAATTCCTATATGGAAGCCAGTTATATCGACATATCAAATCAAATGATAAGATGAGGCACCTAGTCATTGATGAGTTGGACAAATTAGGGCAACACGTAACATAATATACTTTAATTTTTCACACGTTGGGAAAGCAATCCGGAGCGGAGCCAGAATACTGTTAGGGGTTTCATTCAAACTTCCTTTAACAAAAAATATTACTATTTATATATGATTATTATAATTTTTTAATATAGTAAATGTCGAAATTTTTTGATTAGTTGATATGTTTATTTTTTCAATTTTTAAATCTCTTATTAAAAATCTTAACTCCGTGTCCTTACTTACTATTTGTTTGTCTTAATAAATTGGCCTTATTATATATGATGTGCTATCTCATGCATGATTCATGTTTTACGAACAATAAAAAATCTGAGAAAATGCTAAATTAGTAATACAATCATTTTCGTTTATTATAGAGGTTTTATTTAATTTTTTCAAGTTCCTTTTAATTTTTATTTTTTTTTAGGAATAAAACATGTAATTTTACAAAATTAATAATGTATAAATAACAAATTTAGAAATAAATATGTTCCATGAGCTCCGGCCAGATAATTGGAAGTCACGTGTGGTTATGCTTTTCACGCAAAATAGCTCACAAGTCCCAAAATACTCTCTCCCGTTTCATTTTATTTGGCTTATTTTATTTGACTCCTGCACTAAAAATAAGCGTTTTATTTTATTTTTTAATTTAAAAAAATAAAGAAAGATCTTTTTTTCATACTATTCTTATATAAAAAACATATTCTCTATGTCCATGTTATTTGTGATGATCTCTATTTTTAGAATTAAAAACTATAAAAACTTCGACTAACATTTTAAGATTTATTTTTTATCATATTAATATGTAAAAGAATGCAATTTATAATACTTTTCATATAATTTTAAAATATCTAATTTTTTTATTTAAAAATATCAAATTAATATGATTTGATTTAACTTTAAAAATTAGTGTAATTGACTTTCGAAAAATATAACATGACAAATAATACCGAAAAAAAAAGTAATATTCAAAATTTAAAGTTTGGTAAACCTCTAATTATATTTTACTAAAAAAATATGTTATGTTCATAAAGGTCAAGAAATACAAAAACGAAAAGAATAAGATATTTCATTCCTAATGAAGTATGCAAAATAGATTTATGAGACTTATTTTTAATCAAAAAGTCTTACTTCAAATTTTGACAATGATATTTTTGTCGATAATAAAAATTTAAAGATCCTACTTTAAGAATGATATATAACTTTATTAGCAAATATTTTCTTATGATAATAAAATTATATTAAAATATGGTAAAAAAGAGATTTTCTTAAAATAATTTTAAAAAAAAGTAAAATAAACAAATTGAAGCAGATTAATCAAATCTTTGATCTTTCTATTTGTATCCTCTCTAACAGTGACTACATAACTTCATAAATATCTTTTCCACCTTATTTGTCTTTTAATAAAATATTTGTTAATTAAGGTTCATTTTGCACCACAATATTTTGCCACCTAAGACCATGATACTTTTTTTGGTTGTATGTATTTGAAACTTTAATTAAAATACCCTTTTCTTTTGTTCACTTGTTTCTTCATGATTTTTAGTATTCTCCCCATTGGTAGAATATGCCCAAGAAATCCTTTCTTTTTTTTTTGTAGTTGACAAGGGATTTTGTCAATCTTGAGTTTTTATTTTATTTTTTGTCAGCAAAGTTCAAGATTTTTGAGACCATTACTAATTTTGGGGATTTAGTTGGTTTCATTGGACAAAGCTGTCTGGAAGTTAGTTTAAAGACAAGAAAAAGGCTTTGTTTTTGTAGTGTGTGTGAAAGAATGGAGCTGAAATTGGTTGATTCCAAGTCATTGTTTTTGTGTAATTTTGAGCTGATGAAATCAAGTTCATTTCTTGACACAAAGCTAAGGTTTGGTCTCACTGGGACTCATAAGTTATGTTCTTGCAGAGGTAAATTCTCTAATGTGAAAAAAATTTCTTTTTTTTGTGTGTTTTTAGTGTTTATCATTCATCATTGTATGTTCTGTTTAGATTTTGGGATTTTTCTAAGTTTAATTTGAAGATCATAAGGCCAGCTCCATGTTCTTACTATATGTTGTTCGGACTCTCCAAAATAATGTCCTCTGAAAATGCACTACTTTTAGAGGATCCAACAGGGCAGCTATTAATATTCTTGAAGAGTTCGAGTAACATAGCAAAGAAGGGGAGTAAAGTGCAATTTCACAGTTTTTTTAATATTATATGAGAGGATCTTTATAAGCTTGTACATGTTTACCAAGTCTATTCCATTTGAGTCATATTTGCCTTTTTGAGGTTTACTAATCTTGTCTCCAGCAGAAAATGTAGAGAAGTTGTTCATTAGAAAGCGTTTTTCTTAGTTTTTATTTCTTATAATATTGGATTTAGACGAGTTTAAGTGGAGTGACATGGATGATGAGGATTCATATAGCTCCCCCACCTTGCTTGGGATTGATGCGTAGTTGTTGTTGTAGTAGAACAACGTACCATGAGTAGGTACAAAGTGCATCTTTACTTAGAGGGTTACACACTTGCTGTTTCAATAGGCAAGACAGACATGTTTGCGCGTGCTACAGAACGTAGTGCTTAGATCTGAGACGATAACATTTAGTATGGTAATACCAGAAATAAATGATATCAGTTTGAGAGATGTTTGGGATTGAGGTGTACGTAGTTACTTCTTCCGATATTGATATAGGCTTTTGCCTGTTTTAAATCCAGGTGTTGTACTCAAGGCTTCTCGTTCAAGTGCTTCTTATGATGCTGCAAGTTCAGTTAGCAAAGAAAATTTTATACTCGACGAATTTTCCTGTAAGATAAATGGTAAAAATTGTTCAGGACTGTATCTTAGAGATGTAAGAGTGCTTGATGCTTCTGATGATGAATATGGAGGAATACTCATTAATCCACAAACACTACCGTCCAATCCCAATATATTTGCATCTGTACTTCGTGAATCGCTGTCTCACTGGAAAATGAAGGTACTTCCAGAGCAGTAATCAACATATTGACCTCTCTTTATCTTTATGTAGAATTCCACAACTACATTTACCTTTATGTTGTTTACTGATTATCTCGAGGAAACTATTGCGTTTTCATTTTCTGGCTTGTCCTATTGCCAAAAGGCTTGTGATTGGAAACGAATGGTTTCACCAGTCTGAGTGTTTCTTCAGACATAAATATATTATTACAGTTCATGGAACACCTACTTTCTAATTGACATTGCACGCTGCAGGGGAAGAAGGGAGTTTGGCTTAAACTACCAGTTGAGAAATGTGATCTAGTTCCAATTGCAGTAAAGGTATTGACTGTCAATAATATCCGAACACATAGCTTTTTTGAAGAACAAAGTTTATATCATGTTCCTTTAGCTTCCGATGCTACCTCTTCTTTCAAGCCAAACTCTGAAGTAACTAATTTCGTAGGAAGGATTTCAATACCATCATGCGGAAAGAGGATATCTCATGATGACATATTGGCTTCCCGATGATCCCTGCATGCTTCCTTCTAATGCATCTCATCAAGTTGGAGTTGGGGGTTTTGTGATCAACGACAAAAATGAGGTATTAGCTTTTAAAAAACACTCCTAATTACTATATAGAACATGCCATAATATCACACATATCGCGTCGAGTGCAGTCTCTTGACCTCAAGAAATGATTACTCTAGGTGCTTGTCGTACAAGAGAAACATTCTGCACCAGATCTTTCAGGCCTATGGAAAATACCAACTGGTTTCATTCTTGAGGTATGTTCTTGTTACAATTTTGTTTGTTAACAACAGTATATATAGAAACATGATATCTTTGCTTCAATCCGTGAACTCATTCTACCTTTAAATGCGAATATCAGTCGGAGGAGATCTTTACAGGAATCGTGAGAGAAGTGAAGGAGGAAACTGGGGTAAGTATTTGTAGGAACATATTTTCCGTATAGAAATGTAATCTAAAACGTGTATTCCCTATCTTAACTATGGTTTTTTCTGGTTATCTTTCCAGATTGATACTGAATTTGTGGAGGTTATGGCTTTCAGGTGAGAAACGTTTCTCCTCTATGTCATGATTCCTTTCTTTGAAGAGAAGTCGGTATTTTATCTAACACGTTATTGAATGGAGACCATTATTCAATTTAACATCAGTTCTGCTTCAGGCATGCTCACAATGTTGCTTTTGAGAAGTCAGATTTATTCTTCGTCTGCCTTTTAAGACCCCTTTCAACAAGAATCGCGGTTGATGATCTAGAAATTCAGGCAGCCAAGGTAAATGATATTAACAAAGCCGTCACATTCAAACATTCCCCTCTTTCCATCTCAATGATCGTCATATCCATGTTACATACTTGTATCTCTCCGTTATCAGTACTCCTCGAGTAAAGAAACAATAAAACCTCAAGAACATTAAGAAACAATATGTTGCATTTTCATTCATGGCTAAGCTGCTTGTCTTTACAATGCAGTGGATGCCTCTAGTCAAATTCGTCGAGCAGCCACTAATTCAAGCAGATAGCATGTTCAAAAAAGTCATAGACATCTGCATTGCTCGGCTGGGAAAGCGATACTGTGGATTATCTGTCCATCAACTAGTCTCTACATTTGATGGTAAACTATCCTCCTTGTACTTCAACACAGTTGAAGATTCAGATTCGAACTGTAAAGCCAACTAGCGCCATAATCAGAATTTGCATTGCAATTTAGCTCTCGATATCCTTTTCGATGGAGATGAAACGAGTTAAACACAATATTACACCAACTGATCATCAATTACCTGTATTAGAAAGAACAAGAAAAAAGTCAGGGAGTTTATATATAGTGTATATATCTTCTGCTGAGGACATGGGACATTGTATATATGTAACATCTATATTTCTTATCTTATGACTAATTTAGCTTCTAAGTGTTTTTCTGCCACTTCACTAGTATCTTTCTTTGCTCTTATTATGGCGTTGGGACTTGAGTGAAGTTTCTTTGAACGCTCTTCGTCGAAAAAATTATGAGATTATAGAAGATCATATGATGTATATAGGTTAATTCATATACATATATATTAAATCTTGAGCACTCTTGGTGAAAATTCCGCCATTGTTTTTATGGAAACATAATCTTAATATTTTATGTATTCGTTGTGTTTTATGTATAATATTTTTTTTTTATGTGAAATCAATAAATATTATATATAAATTAGTAAGATACAATGATTTTGATATAAACAAAATTAACCTTCATCAAATCTCAAGTCATTCTTTAAATTAATAAATATCATTTTATCGATTAAATAATATCTCTATAAGATAATAAATTTTATGATTCCACCTATACTAATGTATATAGAGGTTTTACTGTACTTAGGTTCGCAAAAATATAGAGCTCCAAAAGAAAGAGATAGTATTAAATATATATAATAAAGTAATTAGTTTATAACAAATATAGTTATGTTTTATTTACATTTAAAAAAAATAGTTAAAAGTCACAGAAATATACAATGGCTATGCATTATGATACACTCAATTTTCTTTATTGAATATAACTTAGCTATACATGAGTTATACAGTAACTATACATTATAATACACTCAAAAAGCAAATGTGGTTTAATTATACATAAAGTATACACTTACTATTCAATTCTGACCAACTCAAAATCTCCTCTGAACAATCCTAAGTTTTAGATATAAAACTATCTTAATATTTTGAGTCTTCATATATAATTTTACTAAAATTGATTCACATTTACGGTACGTTAGAAAAAAAAAGGGGAGGAAATTAAGGTTTGAATCGTCATTTTTGGTTTAATTTTGTCCAATATTTTCGAGGAAAAACTACCTAATTCTCTTAAACAAACATCCTAACATTTCTACAAACTCTTATTATAAAGTATCAATATATAACAAATTTAATATCAGATAGATATATTTATACACAGGAAGACTAGATACATCACATAACTATTGGATGCACACATGTGATACATCTATGCCCTCTCAGAAATAATTTGTAATCATACACATAAAATGGATACATCAAGACATTATTATATATGTTCGATACATGAAAATGATACTGGATACACTTGATGAAATTGAATACACAAATACACTAAATATATCAATGTAAATATAATATTGGAAACACAAATATATAAAGTTGTGAAACATGGATACAGACAAATACATAATTATCGAAACTATTGATGTGTTTGGTAATTAGCACACATACTATTATGCTTTATAAAAGTTGATCTTCTATTTTGCTATAAAAAACTTTTTGGAGTAGGAGTTTGTAGGTTCTTTTTTGTTGTTTTGAAGTTTTTTTAGTATCTTACATTAAACTACTCAAATTTTCATATTAGTAAATAATTTTTTTATAATCAAAATCCAAGATATCACATTGTAAACACATGACTAACAATCTTATTAAATTGTATTAAACCTTCCTTATACAAATAAGTTTTTATATCTCATAAAAATACTATATTATAAATCAGATTCTGAAAGAAAAAAAAAATTATTCTTTATCATATACACACAATCAGTTACTGTTCTCATTTAATTCACTATTACTTGAGTACTACTTACTAATTTCAAATTATTGTTAGTTCATTCGTATTGATAAACATTGAAGCATAAACAGTGAGTATGAAAAAATGATTGCGACATAATGCACAATCACGTTTGCTAAAATAGAAGGAAAAAAAAAAGTTGAATGTCTATGTTCTACTTATCCAAGATAAATGTTTAATTTGTGAGGCACGTTTATGCAAAAAAAAAATTGTTCCAAAAGGCAACAGAGTTCAAAAAATATTGTTTGATACGTTGATGGTATTTATCCAAAGTTCTTGACTCAATCTTTCTTACTGTGGTAAGTTTTTTATATCTAATGTTTTCCACATCACTATTTTTTTGGTTAAGATTATTCTATTCTAATTCTTAATTTGTTTTGTTCAGGTGTTATTCAATTGAAATTTCAAAAAGATTTGGAGTATTTTGAAAGTTTTTACTTTGATCACATATCCTCCAAAAAAAGACATATTATACCTAGGTTAGTGTTTTGGGTTATTTGAATTTCTTTTGTTCAAGAGATAGGATTTTCTTTCAATCAAAATTTTTCACTAGTATCTAGTTTAATAGTTCGAATTGTTTGGATTTTATTTTGTTCAAGTATTATGTTGTAATAGACTATTTTATATATCATTTGTCAAACCTGTCTTTTGATGTGAAATAATGCCAACTTTTTGTTCTCACATGATTTCAATAAGATTTGCTTTTACACTTCTAACACTTCCAAAGTCTTAAGTCTTAGACAAAACCCAACTAATTTTAGATTATGTTTCCCACACATCACATCTAAAATCAAATTAGTCAAGTTTTAATTCGGATATAGGTCCTAGAAATAAGCGCTTATCTTATTGGATGAGTTTACTTATTTGTCTCAGTCTCATATCGAAATGCTAGGTTAGGAGCTCCAACGAGAGTGAACCAAAATTAAAGCTAGTAAAGTCATTATTTAGGTTCGCAAAATTATAGAGCTCCAAAAGAAAGAGACAATCTTAAATATATATATATATATAATAATAATAAAGTAATTAGTTCATAACAAATATAGTTATGTTTTATTTACATTAAAAAAGATAGCTTAAAGTCATAGAAAGTATACAATGCATATACATTATGATACACTCAATTATTTTTTTTAAAAAATAACTTACATATACATGAGTTATACAATAACTATACATTATAATACACTAAAAAAACAAATATAGTTTAATTATAAAAAAAGTATACACTGACTATTCAATTATGACCAACTCAAAATCTCCTCTAAACAATTCTAAATTTTAGATATAAAATTATCTCGATGTTTTGAGTCTTTCAATATATAATTTGCTCAAATCAATTCACATTTACGGTATATCAAATTTTAAAGAAAAAAAAAAAGAGGAGGACAATGAAGCATCAAATGACAAAGAAGGATGAGTAATAAGGAGGAGGAAGCAGAAGATGGAGAAAGAAGGGAGAAAAAGACGCAACGAGTCATCTTTTTTTAAAAAAATTTGATCAAATCGTTATTTTGGAGGTCTCAAGTTCTAAATTCCTTGCCAGCGAAAGCAAGGGGTTTGCCTTCTGGGTCGAGCTCGTCGCACCAGGCTTGCCTAGTGCATGTTACCTCACCTATGTGGTTTGCGAGCTATCGGATAGAAACGGAGTTTTACCTTGTGCACATTCAAAGAATAGCGACAGTAGATTTCCCTAATCATAAAAAAAAAAACTAAAAAAATGATAAATACACCATATGGGCTGATATTTTGTCCAATGTTTTAAAGGAAAAACCGCCTAATTCTCTTAAACAAACATCCCAAACATTTCCACAAACTCCCACTATAAAGTATATCTATTTATGTATACATTAATGGAATATGTCACAAATTTGATACCAGATAGATATACATGTGATACATCTATGCCCTCTCAGAAATAATTTATAATCATACATATATACAATGGAAACATCAAGACATTATTATGTACGATACATGAAAATGATATTAGATACACTTGATGAAATTAAATGCACAAATACACTAAATATATCAATGCATATATAATATTGGAAACACAAATACATGAAGTTGTGAAACATGGATACAAACATAGTTGAACGGGAGAGATGCGAGCGAGAGAGGAAAGAGTTCACTGAAGACAATGTATCTAGAAGCATAAAATATTATAAATCACATTCTCAGGAAGAAAAAAAACCCGCTCTTTATCATATACCCGCAGTCAGTTACCGTTCTCATTTAATTCACTATTACTTGAGTACTACTTACAAATTTCAAGATACTGAAGATTCATGGCGGAGTAATGATCCATTCACCCATTACATTAACTATTGTCCGCATAATATGGTTAACAATGTAGAGTACAATATCAATCATTGGAACAAGCCTTGCCTTTGTAGTGTATTTTGAAGATGTTGAACTTTGGTTGAGTTTACAATTTTGGTAATTTTATTCGTACTAGTAATTCAATTAGTTTGTCTTGTTTGAAAGAGTTTTTTCATTAGATATTAAGACTTTTTTTTTCTTTTTCTTATTAATGTTTAGTATAAGGTGTCCTATTTTTCATATGTTTTCTTTGTGTTTTAGGCCAAGTTACAATTTAAACAATGAAAACGTTTTGTGAGTTAATGTGCAGTAATAAATGTTAATACAATATATGTTTTGTTTATTATCAAGTGTCAAATACTATGGATAAATTGAAGGTCTCCCATCAATCACTAACTATGAACAATTCTAAAATCTTAATGAGCAACGATTAAGATTTTTGTATTGAATCATTCTGATCATCAATTGTTAACAGTACGAAATTCGATCAATTCATTATATTGAATCAATTATTAAGTTTTTTCTAATGAAATTGTAAGTTTTTGAATAACTTTATAACTATATTGAATAATTAGCTAGATACATTGTAAATTTTATAAAAATTAATCGAAAATTCAAAATCATATCAAATATATTAACACATAAAAATATATTTTTATATATATCAATTACGTTTAAAAATATGAAACACATATATATATTTTTTATCTCAGGTTAGAGGTGATCAAAACGATAACAAATCAACCAGCTATAACACCGTGAAAGTGGAATGTTTTATCCTTTATTTTATTTTATTTTACATAGATATAGTTGTTGACTGCATATTCAAATTATTCCCATTTCTTGTTATATATAAATATTGGTAAATCTAAAAGAATATTCAAAAGTAGTAAAATATTATATTTTTATATTTTAATTAGGAATGATGAGTGATGATTGAAAAAGGGCATGTGTGACACATTAAGTTTATTTAAGTTTCTGGCTAGGCTGTAGTCAGCTGCCCTATAATTAGTTTGTTTCCAACGGTA